CCGTATTATCGCGGTGTCCGTTAAAGCTGAGTGTTCGGAAGGAGAGAGTTAACTGTAGTATGGACAACAAGGGTAGAGAAATGGAACAAGTGGTTCACATACTTCGAACATGGTGTCGGAGCGGTTGGACGAGAGTTAGGACGAGAGGGTTTGGTGAACTACATCCCAGTCCTCACTCCTGAACATTTACTTCTGTCTCAGTGGATTCCAGTCCTCGTTCCTATTTATACACTTCTGCTATCATCAAAATACCTGTTGTAATGTATACACAGGAAAAGAAACGGATTCCCATTTTTGGATATTTTAGGGTATTTAAAGGATACCTATAAAAATCCCAAATTTGGCAAAGTGAGACAAGTCCCAACCAGGGAATTCCCAACCAAGTTCCATGATTGGGACTTGTCTCACTCTTCCAAATTTGGGATTTTTGTGGGTATTCTTTAAATACCCTAAAATATCTAAAAATGGGAATCCGTTATTTTTTCCCGTGGTACTTAAGTGTGGCACTTAGAAATTATCCGATATTCGACGCTCCATCTTAGAGATAAGAACAGCGCATCTTCGCTCCTTTACAGAAATAACACAGAAATCACCCTTCTTATGTGTGAACAGCAGCCCTGTCCGGTAAGGGTTTCATGCCGGTGCAAAACCTACTATCCAGTATACTGAGAATACAGCCCAAATGTAATGACTGTTTGTGACCTTCAATATTGACATGACTGGTCACAGTTCACAGAAACACACTTATTATTTTTATTATACATCTGTCATCTAATTGGCTAAAAGCCTACAGTTAATTCTGGGAAACAGCGCAACCTACATATTATTCAGTAATCTGTACCTTTTAGAGAATAATCTGTAGGTTGCGCGCGCAATGCATGATTTCCAAGAGCAATGTCAAGTGCACGGACAGCAATGTCAAGTTCACGGACAGCGAAGTAAGAATGGCTTCTATAATAAAAAAATAAGAATGGCTTGTATAATAAAACAATTATTAGATTCGGTTTTTGTGATATCCGGAATAATCAAGGTCTCGGTTAGTGTTATCAGCCTCAGCCTTCGGCTTTGGCTGATAACACTTACCTCGACCTTGATTATTCCGGATATCACAAAAACCTCATCCAATAATTGTTTAGAATGCACTGTAAACTACAACCACAGGTATCACTGTATAATTATTAAACAGCTCAAAAACCAACTGGTATGTTAAAGCTAAAGTTCAGTTCCGTGGTCATTGTTTACAATCCAATATCACAAACAGTCTTGGATCAGTATAGGTTTCTTGGAAACTGCCCACCTACTCCTCCCCTAACCCATCATTTTGCCCTAGGTGAGAAGTAAGTGTTAATGTTGACTTAGGGGAGGGGTAGGTGGGCAGTTTCCCAGAAACCTAAATTGATCCACGGTCTTAACTTTTTAAGTCACCATATTCCAATTCAATTTCCCCTACATTTCCCTAAAAAGATACAAATATAAAAGCATTTTCACTTGGCTAATTATTTTACTTATTCTCATCACCTGTTCTCTTGATTATCTATGGATATTGTTAGGAGAAAATTGATGTTGGTCACTACTGGCACTTAAAGGATTAAGATACAAAAAATGATCTAATCACTAACCAGTACTTGGTTGTGTGATGGAGGCTTGTGTGAGCGCTGGTTTATCATGATCATCTTTCTTTCTCCTGGTGAACACTTGCAATCCTTGGAGCGTCTGATGAACTGCTGAATCGAGACTCCTAGACACTACTTCTTCATGGCCAAGTTCAACAAGTGCCTCTAAAAAAGGTCAAACCTGACATTATTTTGGCCCTAATATTTGTGCTGGTCTTGACACAAGCAAATGCTTCTTGCTGGCTGGTACCAGAGAGCCAGTGAGCCTGTTTGAGCTTCATTCAAAGAAGCACAAACAAACTAAACAGGATAAGTGTTTGTTGTTTCAAAATATAACCCAACTATTTAATGAGAATGCCACAAGGCAGTAGTTTCAATAAAACCTGGCTGGCTACCTGTGTCTACCACCGCCTACATGTATATGGCATCTTACTGCCATATGTTAAAATTTTAGAAAATGGATGCCTTAGACCTTATTTCTGGTCATAGCTGCCCATTCTGCCATTGGCAGCCACTTATGAAAACTTTAATTAAAAACCTGGCCAAAAGGTCATTAACAGAACTACCAGCATCCATAAAACTATTGCTATAGTGCAAAGTTACTGAGGAAGCAAACGCAACACACAAGTGAGGAGCAAGTGGCAAAGCTGAAATATGCGAGAAACAAGGGAGTGAGCCTAATGAACAATCCAATTTTGGCTCAATGGTTTTGCCAATGTGCCAACTGTGTGAATAAGAACTCCACGGATCTTACTGCATAGGCAGACTACAAGCAGTATTAGACAAACTGTGAAACCTGAATTTTGTTCAATTGCCCCTCACATGTACTTCATTAACAACACCAATTATTTCCGGCAAACTATAGTCATACAGCTGTACTGCCTGCCTGTCTATCAACCATTAGGGATGATAGAGACTTCTTGAAAGGTATTACTGCATGTACATACCGTTATTTTCTGATGTATGTAGACCACAATTTAAGTTGTTCTTAGGAAACTTTTCTGTGCGTAGTTCTTGTCCATTTTTAACCTCCTTTCCTTCAATGTGATCAATATTCTTGTATGGTTCTGCTGGTGATCTGTCTTTGCCAGTCGTTTTCAAGAAGGGGCTACGGTTTGGATTACTCTCTTTTGATAAACTGACACACGTATCTCTTCCGACAGTTCTCCCATAACCAGGTGTATGTAAACCGGATGTCAACAAAAATTTGTCAATTCTAACTTTAAGTGCACTGTTAGGAACTGGTTTACATGCTTCTGAGAACACTTTTCCAGTAAATGGATCAGATGGTAATCTTCCCCAAGTCCTTTCCACAGTGACATGCTTTTCAAGAGTTTCTGCATCAATATTGTGGCCAGATGGTAACAACAATGGTACTATCATAATTTCACATGTGATTGGATCAATGAATTCTTCTGGGATTGAATCACTGTGATGCTCTAACACAGACTTAAGTTTACCTCCCTCCCTAGTTTTGTCTTGTTTCTCACTGAAAAAACCAGCCTTTATATTGACTCCAGAATAGGTTTTTTCCTGAATACTTAAGGCATATTCCAAAATTTCTGGCTTGCAATTAGCTGATGGTTGCCCCCATATTTCGACTCTTCCAATCGCAGGCACAGAAGACCCACACAGTCTTGTAATCTTCACTGCCACATGAGTAACATTATGCAGACAGTAAAGCCGTTGAAACTCCTTCTGCTCAACATCCCACATCCCTGCATGTTGCAATCCCTGGATTGGACTTCTCTCCTGGAACATTTTGTTATAAAGATGGAAAGTTTTGCCTTTGCCGTCACTCAGCCAAGCAACTTGAGTAAACAAGTGTGAGTGGTCATTTTTCACTGTACTGGGTGTCACCTCAATCTCATAACTGTGGTTAAAAATGGATGCATCTGTTCTAGAACAGCTGGATGCAGTTGATGTTTGGTTCTTAGCTTCTGCCTGAAAGGAAATAATAAAAGACAAATTTCTGATGTTCAGTTGAAAATAGTACAAAGAGTTGTTCCCTCCAATGCCCAACCACAGGGCAAAGGTGCTGTTTATTAACCCAGGGCTGGTGAGTGGAGCAAGTCCCTGGGTTAATAATTTTTATTACAAGTTAACTGCCCAAGGGGCAAGCAACATTACCCAAGAAAAAGTAAATGTTAGTAAAAAGTTAAAGCAGATGTTTACGTGATCATCCCTCTCAATTTAACACCGGAGTACCCCCCCCCCCCAACCACCACCACCCAGGAGGCCAGCTGTGTGACTGCATCGGGCTAGTGAACTTCGCCAAGTGCTTCCCCTGAGGGCAAGCATTTTTTATCATCTCACCCTGAACCCCAAACCAAACAGGGCTTAAGAAAACTTCTGTCTGACAGCAGAGGACTGGGGGTGCAAACAATAATTAATCATGCTAATACGTTTGTATCATCTCCTTTTAGAGTTGGCTTAATTAGAACTACACCAGAGCTGCCCAAGTTCTGTTTTACTCTTTCATATTCCATTTAATACAGTCAAACCTGTGTGCAATGGTCACTCTTGGGAAATAGCAAGGTGACCGTTATATACAGGTCAACTTTGCAGAAAATATGAAGCAACTGAAAATTTTGGGAAATTGTCAGGTGACTGTAATTTACAAGGTGGCCACTATATACAGGGCCGTTTATACAGGATTGACTGTATTTAATCTCCTCCCCACCCACCCCCTCACCAGCTCTTTCATTGATAAGATTTTCTGAGAGGGCTGCAAAAGTCAGTTCTGAGAGTGTTAGTAAATAATTTGATTTTCTAAAAACAGTGTAAAAAAGTATTTCTGTTGCATCTGTAAGAAAGACTTTGTTACTTTTTCCTGATGCGATAACTTCTTCCTTAGGAGCTCATCAGCATAGGGGGTGTGGGTGAACCAAGTTTATATAATTTCTGCCAGGAGCCATTGGCTCCCGATTCTACCTTGTTAGAGTCAGCCAGAAGGATGCCAGGGATTTTGCTTTTCTTCTTACTGAGAGACGAGGGCGCTGTTCTCTGGTCTCTTTTTCTTGAAGAGGTATGTTTATTTGCAATTCCTGCCACCAGAATGGCTATGCCTGATGAAATCTGTGAGCCCACTTTGGGTTTAATCACCATGGACTCCACGTGAACTGGAAAAGGAAGTTGGAAGAGTAAGATTGCTGGAGGCTTGATAAAATGAGCGCCTAAAAACCCTCGAGAACGTTCTCTGAAATCCAGACTAATAAGATTGGTAGCAGGGTATCCGTCCGAGGTAACTACGTCGCAATCCACCCTTGATTCAAAGTAAGGATGGAGAAAATTTACATGCATCTTCTCACTTCAGAACTCACAAAGCAATATTTTACTACGTGACCTGGCCTTAAGGCTGTGCAACCGGGCCAACTTAATTTCAAGATGGCGGACAAGGAGGCCTTTTGGGAGATACCTGAAATAGTGGAGGTTATTCTTCGATTTCTTCCAGGAAGATTCATAGCAGTAGCTGCAAGAGTTTGTCGTCTATGGCGGGACACAGTGGAAAGGATTCGAAGATCAAGAAGGGACTGCGTGGTTTATTTATCTCCAAGTGAATCAAACTTTGCTGAATTTTCGGAAGACGTGCTTGACTTCATGAAACGACAGCTTATTGAACCTAGAGCTTTACTGCTCTTCTCAGGCGCATTTCCATCGTCTAGCACAGCGTTTATTCAAAGATTTTTGCTGTCGATACGGAATTGCCTTCCAGTGAACTGTCCGTTCATTGGCTGCACTGGTCTTGGAGTGGTCGGTTCTGAAACTCATCCTCCTGCAAATTCCGAAGGTTTATCACTTATGATGTTTCCTCGCTGTGATGGACTTGAAGTCCGAGATTTTTATATCCCTCTTCGCAACAAGTATAAGAAGATAAGTGGCGTTAAATCATTTCTTCCCGACATGAGCCTCCCCGTAAAGTTAGTGATTGTTCTGGCCCACCCACTGTCACTTGGGAAGCTTACAAATTTGACCGTGGCTTTAAGATCAAAATATGGCGAAGAGGTAAGTTTCATTGAATTGGTTACTTAAATTGAGGGTCCCTTGTAGGGTTCTTCAATCCCGTTATCCCGACCCAAATTTTCGTGCAATCCAGTAATCCAGATTTTTATTTCTGACATCCAACCCAGCGTGTATACTTTCAATCCCGAATTTCGTCCCCAATGTGCTTTCAGATCCCGAATCCTGAGCTTCAATTAAGGGAAATCCAGGATCCCGAAAAACCCATTGGGGACCCTTTAAATTGGCTTAAATATAAAATATTTCCGCACACCTCCCCTTTCAACTACAGTATATTTTGACACACTAGTCTCTCTATAGACTACGAGTAGTCCCCCATTTTTCCTCAGGGATAGTAGAGCGAGCAAAACGCGGGTGCACGTGAAAATCAACCCACGCCTTTTCTCGCGTGGGTTGATTTTCACTGCTAAGTTTTACTTAACCAAAAATTCGTGTGTGAAGGCCTAAGTAAAATCTCAAGTAACTTTACTTTGCATCTCATGAAAGTCAGAAAGTTGAAACAATTCAAGAAAGTTTCAAGTGACTTGCAAACCATCCTTAAAACCAACTAAGCGAACTCGCGGTTTCTAAGCTTTGAAAAAGGCAAAGTATGTCAATCAATCTTAATTATGTTGCGTAGGAAAATGGGCTTAACCCTTTAAGCCCCGATATCCAGTTACAAATTCTCCAAACTGATCTCCATACATTTCCTTAAAGAATGAGTTGAGAGAATTTGATAAAAGATCAAATATTTTTCTCTTTCAGATCATTTTATCAATTCTCGTGGACTTTTCTCTTGACAATCTATGGTTATTGTTATGAGATTTTGGACACTATTGGGACATAAAGGGTTAAGTAAACCTGAAGTAGAAAAGATATGGTGTGTGTGAAGAGGGGGGCGTAAGGGGGGTCCGAAAACCGCAAAACAGCACAGAAATACGCCAAAAAACCGAAAACTGCATCGGATTTTTTCCCCAATACCGAAACCGCGCTTACATGTAGGCCTAGCCTGCATAGCAAGCGTTTTCCCGCGAGTTCGTCGAGAAAGTTGGGACGAGAGCAAAAAAAAAAAGGAATGAGGGGGGAGGGGGAAGGGAGCGAAGGAAATGCTTGCCCGCAAACCCCACGATTTTGAAAAACTGCGTTCGCCCACGAACGCAGCTTTTGATTGGTGCGGTGCTGGTAGTGTTGATTAAATAGCAATACATCAATCAAACCAGGTATGTTTTGTTTACGTAAGTCGCAGATCTGGTCTGATCTGATTTGTGGTTGCAGATTACAAATGCTTTGGTCTGATATTTATTTGAATCATGTTTGTGCGAAGGTTTATCAGATCTGAGTCCCTTCGATCAAAAGTATAATTGGAGATCGAGCAGTGGAGACTAGTGAAGGCCAATTTATTTCGAATTTCCGACTGGAAAAAATAGACTGTTTGTTGGAGATAACATCAACGTAAATCAGAACATCGAGTACTAGACACTAGCTAGAGCCGCCATGGACAAGTGATTGAAAATTGAGCGGCATGTATTGTAGTGAACTTTTCGACACTGGCTGGCCTATGGAGAGCAGCTGCTCTGCAAAACTCATAGCCAGGGGAGTGAATTGTTCTGGACAAATCATTTCTTTGCAACGTTTAGACAAGGTTTCAGATGAGATAAAGCCACATAACGTTAAAATTTTAACTCAACTATAAAGAACAAGAAGTTCCGCAGCAATCGCTTAGAGTTTCAACCTTCTTTTATAGTTAAACTTCTTTTTATGACAGTTTTGCAATCGCGTGGAGCGTGTTTTAGGGAACAAAGTAATTTTTTCAAATCTGGTAATCAATTCGTTATCTATCTTGTCAAGCTGTCAATTTACAAATGAACCGAGCCGTGAAATATCAAGGGACGTTTTCCAGAATCGTGGGGTTTGCGGGCAAGCGTTTCCTCTTCTCCCCTCCCCCTCCCCCTTCCTTTTTTTTTTTGCTCCCGCTCTAACTNGCAGATTACAAATGCTTTGGTCTGATATTTATTTGAATCATGTTTGTGCGAAGGTTTATCAGATCTGAGTCCCTTCGATCAAAAGTATAATTGGAGATCGAGCAGTGGAGACTAGTGAAGGCCAATTTATTTCGAATTTCCGACTGGAAAAAATAGACTGTTTGTTGGAGATAACATCAACGTAAATCAGAACATCGAGTACTAGACACTAGCTAGAGCCGCCATGGACAAGTGATTGAAAATTGAGCGGCATGTATTGTAGTGAACTTTTCGACACTGGCTGGCCTATGGAGAGCAGCTGCTCTGCAAAACTCATAGCCAGGGGAGTGAATTGTTCTGGACAAATCATTTCTTTGCAACGTTTAGACAAGGTTTCAGATGAGATAAAGCCACATAACGTTAAAATTTTAACTCAACTATAAAGAACAAGAAGTTCCGCAGCAATCGCTTAGAGTTTCAACCTTCTTTTATAGTTAAACTTCTTTTTATGACAGTTTTGCAATCGCGTGGAGCGTGTTTTAGGGAACAAAGTAATTTTTTCAAATCTGGTAATCAATTCGTTATCTATCTTGTCAAGCTGTCAATTTACAAATGAACCGAGCCGTGAAATATCAAGGGACGTTTTCCAGAATCGTGGGGTTTGCGGGCAAGCGTTTCCTCTTCTCCCCTCCCCCTCCCCCTTCCTTTTTTTTTTTGCTCCCGCTCTAACTTTCGCGCTATAACTCGACTGGAAACGCTTGCTACGCAAGCTAATGTTCCACAAGGCTAATGTAGGCCACAATATGAAAGCTGACGTCAGCAAGACCTGTGATATATTCTGATAACATTGTCCGTTAGCATTAAACATACCATCATAATGCTAACGATATATTGTACTACACTATTATACTCTATTTACTACTAACCAAATGCCCAACCTCGTCCCCAGGGCTTTTCCCTTAAAAAATGGGTGGGGTGCCCCACCCATTTTTTAAGGGAAAAGCCCTGGGGACGAGGTTGCCAAATGCCAAGTATGCTGGTCATGTACTTGAACGAGTATTGATATCTCCCTTGACTTGGAAAAATGTCACTGATCCTGTACGTCTTACATTGGGTGACTGATTACTTTGGACGACCCTGTGCTAGTTGTGGAACGCGGAATAAATGTTTCTTCTGGAATTGTGACCTTCTTGTCTCTTAAAGAGTTCACGTTCAGTGGAGAAGACGATTGTTAAACCGTACAGCTCTTCTGAAATTCTCCCCTTACTTTCCTTCTTCATAGAAGATTGCCACGCAATTAATTACTAAGTCCTCTTCGCTTTCAGTTGCGACCTCGACGACTTCAGTTGCCATTGTCGCGCATTGAATCAAAGCAACGAGAACACGAGGCTGTACGGCTGTACGAGCTAACATCCGGCATGGAATTTCACGAAGTCGACGCATCATTGGCCAAACCGGTTAATCACATTAAGTATTAACTGGAAAAGGCCGTAATTGCAAAACCACAGAGTTAAATTGTAAGCTGATATAATGAACCCTGATGCGTTGTAAAACAAAACACTTGGCTCGCGCTTGCAAAACAATCAGATGCCGACCGTTCTAAAGAGTGTTATCACCGCAGACCCTTTTTTTCACCGAAAACCGCGACTTACAGGTTGTAATAACCGCAAACCGCTTAGTGTTTTGAAACCGCAATACCGCGAGTTAAAATAAAAATTACCGCAAAACCGCACCAAAAATAACGTAAAACCGCATCACCGCAAACCCTTACGCCCCCTTCTGTGAAGCTTTCTTTAACTTGAATTTAAAATTTACTTCTCTTGAAGTATTTCTTAGCTTATTTAGGCCCTAGTGTAAAGACTACCAATGTCAGAATGAAAAAGGTGGAATGTCTAGTTTTTATTCAAGCCCTGTGTTGTTCCTGATGGAAGTATTCCAATAGTGGAGTGCGGCCTTAAGTCTGAGAGCGGGGGGGAGGAGGGGATAAGGAGGGATAGAGGGATGGGGCTCATCTCCTACCCCACCCCCTCACTGTTATTCCTGGCCTTCTCACATCTTTTTTGCGCCATCCTTACAATCTGAACGCTTTGAACAGGCTAGGATGGGAGTCAAACCCGCAGGGGCGGATCCAGGTTTGGCATAACTGACTGGTGACGTGAACAAATTTTAAAATCGAATAAGAAGAAGAAGGCTTTTGACTAGGCAATAACATAATGTGAACTGCTGAGAATACATACCAAAGGAAACGATACAGCAGATTTTGTATAACTGTACTTGAAAGCCGCAGGTCATCTCGGGGGGTGGGGGTGCGCAACCCCTGCACCCTCCCCTAGATCCGTTTCTGACCCGGGTCTACTGGATCGAAGCCTCTTACCAGCCAGCCAGCCAGCCAGTCGTGGCGGGGTATACTAAGTATACCCCGCGAGATTCAAGTCTTGAATCTCTCCAGAGAGGGGTCTCTCATTAATCGTTTGATTTACTTGCCTTTTATGTATCAGGTGGTGATTGTTGGTGCCTACAGTGATAATTATCTGTTCTACAACTCAGAGGTCACATCCCGTGAAATCATTGGTCTTGTGTTGGCTGGCAGTTTACAATCCTCTTCTACAGTTGTTACCGGTAGCAGCAAAGTGGAATCCTTCGAGAATCTTCATGACTCTATTCAAAGACTTGAAAACAGCGGTTTGCCCAAAGAAAACAGTTTTAGTTTGACGTTTTCATGTTTTTCTCGCGGAAGCATGACGTATGGATATGACAATGCCGAGTGCTTGGCTTTCAGAGAAACATTTCCACATTCAAATCTGGCTGGGTTTGTAGGTACAGCAGCTTTTGGATGCGACACCGAGAAATTGAAATCGAGAGGTTTGAAACCAGGTGGCAGGGATTTCTTGCACATCGATGCAACAGTGTTTTGTTTGAATTCTTTAGCGCAGCATTCGCCTTAGCAACATTTTATGCATACGTAAGGCTTTTAGGTTGGTTCTACTCGGCTACAGTTAGCTTTGCTAACTGCATTATTCCAGATTGTTTGTAAATATAAACTACGAAAGCTATTCTTGCTGAAATTTAAATTGTATCGCTATTTTTATGTAATGCTTGTATTGTTGTTTTTTACAATGTTAACGAACTTGCTCTTACGGCTTGGTTAAACGAGAGATTCAAAGTGACGTTTACGGCAAACACCAGATTCAAGTTGAGAATTTCTTAAAATAGAAAACGTGCAGCTAAAAACAGTCCAAAACAATAGTTATAGACAAAACTAACGTGAAGCTACTAATTTTGTGGTAGGCGTAATGAACAGTAAAGCGCAAGTTAAAGGAAAACTTGTTCACGTGGTACAAATTCACGTTTATCGTTTGCTGTAAACGTCACTTTAAATCTCTCTAAAATCGATGGCGTTTACCGGTTTTCTATGTGGGAATGGTCTTTTTTTGGCTTCAGAAAAGGAAAGCAAGGTTAACGATTTGTTATCAAAGGTACATGACTGATTCCCGGTTGGTAAAACACTCAACACTACTATCAACTCGTTTTGCAACTGACAATGTTGCAAAACAAGTTGCACGTTTTTGTTGCCCGTTTAACGGTTCCTTCAGATATTTGCAGGAGTTACAATCGTTTATGGTTTGTCCCTTCCAGTGTCACTAAGACTCTACTGCAATATTTGGTTATATTGACCATCTTTGCTTCCCATGGGCATTGGTATTTCTGTTTAGGCTTACCAGCATTAATTTCACTCCAGGCAATTTAATAGCGAATCCCGTTTTTCGTGAATTGTGTTAAATGCATACGTTTATGAAGTACTTGCCATGTGCCGTGAAATAGAAAACAATGGTATAACTACTGAGAATGAACACAAATCAAACAAAGTCTCTTTATTAACATTTGGTGATTTTAGCCATCATGGGTCGGTAGAGAAGTGTTCGGTGGCTGGCCAATTAAGTAGTAGATATTACAGTTCTGAGAAGACTTCAATTTCAGTAGTTTTAGACGGGAAAAGCTAAGCCACATGTAGTCATACCTTCTTCATCTTGCCTTTTCTTAGTGGGGGAGGGGAGAGGATGAGGATTTGCCTACGCGAAGGCTAATGAAAGCAAAAATTATTTTCCCGAGCGCTGTTCTAGGCTCCGAGATTGTAGAGACCTTTGATTCGAGGACAAGAACGACTGCAAGTCAGATTTGACTGAAAGTTTTTTCGCGGATTCCCAAAAAATAGGCAACCCGGAAAGCCTCATGTACTTAAAGTAGCATTGTTATCTTTGTTGAAGGAGGTTGAGCCTTCTCGCGATCGATAACTCACTACGACATTCTCGCTAAAACTCGTAGTAGAATGACGAAGGCTATCACGTTTTCCCGCCAATCTCGTCCCTAGAGCCCGTCGTTTCTTGGCCACGTGGTCGGGAAAGGAGGGGTCGGTTACAAATTAAGGCGAGTGGCTCTGGGGACGAGAATGGCTCCCTAATGACGCTATTTCACGCGCGAGCACTACGTAGGATTGAAAAAATCTCGTACTCGTAGTCGTTCTCGTCTCGGAATCTAAAGGTGATGTTACACGAGACAATTCGCAACCACGATTTTTGGCGCAACACAGCAACATTGTTGTGACATTGTTTCAAAAGGCTACAACATTGTTCCAACATTGCAACGCTGTGTTGCGCTAAAAATCGTCGCTGGAAATCGTTCCGTGTAACATCACCTTAAAGGCCTCTGATAACGTGCAGAGATCGTAAAAGCTCATGTGGAAAACGCGCGGGGACTGGGGAGAGCAAGGTCACTGCCCACTTTTCCAGATCACGCGTCTCTTATTTTGCGACGGTCCCTACGATCCAAGAGCCTGGCACAGGATAATGTATGCAGTCTCTGTAGTGGTTGCGTGAAGCATCTATTTGGCCTAATGGGCCTAATTTCCTTTCAAAAATCGTTTCCAACCGTCAAGGACGCGTCTCCCATGGTGTCCCTAGAGGCTATACTTTAGTTAAACGTTAAACAGGATACTTCCCAACACAACAAATTGCCCGCAACTTGACATTTCAACAGGGTTAGGGATGGTTTTCAAACTATATGAGATTCGTCTGGCGACGGTCAGTGTTTTCTATATGAATTTAAAATATTAATTATAATAGTAAAACAGAGAGCACGTCCTATTTGAATCTACCTCAGGAACACAACGTCTTTCACATCAAATAAGCCTTTAACTCGGGCAGTTAAAATGTCATGATAAATATACGAGAAATTTGAACACTGTTTGAATCGATTCAGGGGTTGTCGTGCGATCTTTTCAAACTGATGACTGCTCATCAGATTCTTAATCTCAACTGGAACTGAAGTAAAAACTTGAACGCGACATCACAATGGTGGGTAATAGGCGCTGTTTGGCAAGACTTCACCTTCACAGTTCAAGGACTCGAAGCTTCTGACGTTCCCCTAGAAAAGACGAAAATTTAACACTTCTGGCATTAACTAGGAATTCATCATTTCTGCTTTTAATGATCACACTGCTGAGTTGAGATAAATACGTCAACTAAACTTTTGGCTCATGCACAAAACATTTTTTCATAAAAGCTACCAATAATGCAAGAGAAAAATGGGAAAAACACAACTAGCTAGTTGCAAAACGTTCGCGTTTGCCGTTTGACGTTAACTTGACGCTTCACCTCTCAATTAATTTGTTTTGCAGCTGGGCTAATCGCGGCCGGGACCACAAGAGTGATAAAAAAACCGTTTGAGTGTATAGGACTTAGGGGGCTAAACGGAGACGCCTCCTCCCTCCGTTTCCCCTTTGTCAGGAATTTTTATTTTATTTTCAGAAATTTTTAACACAAATGCCCTGGAAGTTCTTCCATAAAACTAAGCCTGCCATTTCCCGCCTAATTTTTGAATCGCCCCTGAAGCTTCAACTCAGAATTTCCGCTTAATCAGTTCGCCAACAGACATTTTTCAGTTTCTACAAATGAAAACGTTTTTTTTTCTTTCCATGAAACAATGCAATTTATTTGAATGTCAATGTATTAGCACTGAATTGCTAATTGAGGACACTATTTTTACGTCTCCATACTGGAGACGCAGCCGCCATTTTACGTGTTTACCCGTCCCACACGAAGGTCTCGCCGTTTGCAGGGCAAACTCACCACTACAGGGCAGACATTAATTACCTGGTCATAACCAAAAAGAGGGTTGCTTTGGCCAAAATTACCCGGAACACCAAGGCCAACTGGGAATCTGTTGATATCGAGAGCTATTGCGGAAATCCGAGGAAATACGACCACGTTCTGTAACCACGGTAACTGATGCGGTCCAGTGCGCCCAACAAATGGTACGCCCGCAATCACAGGGTTTAACCCTGAATAGTGTAATACATTGTTCCACATTAATACAGGCGCTGGGTTAACGTTATTGGTGTTGAGCCTAAAAAAGGCAAAGAAATACAGAAATTGTCTGCCTCTGTCAGGCTGTACCACAAGTCTGCTACACAGCCGTTCTTTGTAATGCACGCAACGCTTCTCCCACAGCTGGGGAGACTAGAAGCGTTGCCTGACGACACAAAGAACCGCTATGTAGCAGAGTACTGTACCACACAACTTTTAAACCGTTTCCCCATATAAGGACAGACGTCGCTGTAGTCAAGGGGGAGGGGCTATTCCAGTATTAACCGCGGGCGTATTCTGAAGTTGACACGAGTTACCTTCGCATTTGCGATCGCATATACTTGCGACTACTGATTTGACGTATGCCTTATGAGCCACCGTGCCCATATTTCGGAATATTAAGCACATTTAAAAAAACGACGTGACGACAGTCACGGCGGGGCACGCCGGGCTAAAAACCGACTTGATCAATGGATCGAAATAGCAGAGCTGCACTACTGAGAGTCGTGTTCAGTTCTTTCCGACCGCCGTCGTTAAGAGCATCGAAGCCTTACAAGAAGCAAACGCTGTCACACTTTTCACAGAGCAGGGGCCCTAAATTGACTGCATGTTAAACGCCATTAGAGTTGAAACTCCATTAAGCGGTTACCCTCTGTTAAGTGGTCAGTAAGCAAAGTCCCGAAATAATAGTAGAAAAGAATGGAAAATTAAACCTCTATTAAGCGGCTGCGGCCACCTTTTTGCTAGTCTGCTACACAGCCGTGTTTAGTGTCGTCACGCAACGCTCCTCCCCACTAAGTTAGTGGGGAGGAGCGTTGCGTGAGGACACTAAAAACGGCTGTGTAGCAGACTACCTTTTTGCCGTCTTAACCAGAGTTCTCCCATTGTCGGTCACCTCCATTAAGTGGCCACCAAGAGCTTGATACACTTAGTTTGGCTTTGTTTTAAAAATATGAAGGAAAATACAGCCCTTCACAGAAGATGATGACCGACTGAGGACCAGTAATGCCGCTGCTTCCTTTGCGTGTTTGTTTCTGATGTGATGTCTCTGCTAAAGATTATACCAATTTATGACGAACCTCTATTGAGCGGCCAAACTTAGCCTGTGAACAGGCTCTCTGTTTGCTAGGCCAAACTCTATTTGCCGGAACCCCGAGGGTGGCCGCTTATGGAGGTTCAATTGTATTTTTGAACACCCATCTCAATCAAACGTGAGCGGGAACACAGGTTGTTTTACACTTTGTTGATAAAACGTTCTTATCTGCACAGGCGCTATAAAAAAGAACGTCTGCGTGGGAGGCTACCTTCTCGGCCACACGGCTTTTCTTTGTCTTGTCACGCAACGCTTCTCCCCAAAGGAAGTAACGAAGGAGCGTTGTGTGACGAAACAAAGAGAAGCTGCGTGAGAGATAAGTACTAGCAGTGCCCTTATCCTTTATTTACGCCCATCCTTGCCCCACCCTCCCTCCCAATGACAACCAGGCGTTGTAAACTGTTCTTATACCTTTGTGGTGATACGTCCTCAATTTCATTCAAGACAAAACTGGGAGGACTCAATTGATCAACCGTTGGGATACCGTCGTCTGTTTTCCATAGCGATTCAATCGGCGAGGAGGGCGAACCTGATTGGTCAATTGATGTGAGATTCTCATGTTTCCATGGTGACTGATCACTTAACGGCACCTCATGTGTCAAGTGCTGTGCTGTATTGTTTGAAAAGGTTGTCGAGACTTGCTTAACAAACGATTCTTCTCTTGAAAGTGATGGAAAATATGTCTCTGTCTGGTTATTTGGGGGAGTGGGGTCTCCCTTTTCAAGAGGATCCTCGACGTTTGGAGATTTAGGTTCTTCTTTTCGCAGACGTCTTCGGGAGTTCGCAAACCAGTTCTTTAGCTACGGTAAAATAACAAAAGAAGTGGGAAGATAAGAATGGGAACGTTTCACTGAGTTGTCCATTAAGCCAATGTTAATTGTATACGTGCCTTTAAAATTGAAACGGCTGCTACTATTTTCCGCTCTCCAAGTGCCACATAAAAGAGAGTCCTTAGCTGAATTTACAAGTGTACTTTCAACTAAATTTCCAAGTGAATCAAAGCATTCAAGATGGGAATATTTAATACTGCCTCCATATAACATTGTTACCTGGCCAAGAGTGATGCCGTATTTCTTTGCCAGCATCTCTTTTTCAGCCTGGTTTGGGTATGGGCCGTGATCTCTGAACCATGTCTGCAATCCTTGGCTGATATGTCTGGGTATTCCTCTTTTTTTACGAACACCAGATGGGCAGATGCTTTGGGGAGGCACGTTTCTAAGAAGGATCAAAGACAGTGATGATGCATAATACAGACTGTGAAGCAAGTGTTTCATTGGTGTAAACGAATTTTTTTTCTCTTCTTTCAGACTGTTTATAGTCCCCTGCTTTTTCATAAAGCCATCTTTATAAAATGTGTCGTTTCCCATCGCCCCGTCTCTTGTGATCGTGGATCGGTCGGTCGGGGAAAAAAAAGAATGAAAACTTATCTCACGTTTAATCTGTAAGATATATAATCAGATGCTAAAAGATGTATATTAACGCGACTATCAAATGTCTAAACAGCCTTAAAAAAACGTAGTATCGATGTTAATTAAGGACAAGGACATCACATCATACCAATTGTTGTTAAAACAAGATCGTGTGCTTGTAAATTAAAGTACTTGCTTCTTTGACTAGTGAATCTTGAATTTTTTTTTTTTTTACCTTTCGAAAAAAATGGGTCGGTCGGGCGATGGGAAAGGAAACATTTCATTCGGATGGCCTAAGTGAGGGTGGTCGCCATCAAAAGCACTGATGGTTATATATCCTACTCTTAGCCTGAGACGTCTGAGGAACGAACACATAATATACTAAATTCAGTACCCAGATCTGGGTAGTGCTTGCCGCGTGGAAATTTTGCTTCAGCCTTTTAAAAGCACAACCCAGATCTGGGTAGTGACGTGTCATCACTGTGGAATTTCTGTCCTCGTTTCTTAGACGTCATATTCGCGGTGAAAGGAGTGGTGGCGTCGCGAGATGTCGGCTGTTTTCTCAGGCTAGCCTACTCTCAGCCGCTCCAATCCCCGCTTCAACTGCAATTTGCGCTTCTCCCAGAAATAGCGATCATTTGAATCAGGATATCATCCTTTGAAGGCTCTCGCAAATCTTGTGACTCTATCAACTTATAGGTGTATAACAAACTCAAATACACACCAGCATTGCAAGCAGTATAGTAAGAACCGGTTAGGTCTCCTGGAGTCTCATAATCTTGCGGAACAATACTTCAACTCCCATGTCGCCACGAACAAAATGTGGTGGAATCTCATTAAGATAAGGTCACATGCTATTTTTAAGATCTTACAGCCGCCCCTCCCCGCCTAATGGGAGAGGAGGCGGTTGTACAAGGGCTGTATTTTTAGGGTTTAACCCGCTGGACAATTTTTCTAATCATTTCTAGGTCTATTAATGTCTTGCTTTCTGATTGGCTGACTAAAAAATAATAAAAGTTTGCAAAATTAAAAGCCTTTGAGAAGTTGACGTATGGCTCTTGCCCAGCCACGCTGCCTCTGCGTTTCGACTCACGTGGTCCGAGCGAGTCTCCCTGCCATTCGCTCTGAACGAGAAGGCCTTGGAAGACACGGTAGCAAGCATGACACCTCTATATCGCGGGATTCACTTTAAGGCATACACTCTTTACTTTTTTAATAAAGAACCTTTTTTACAAGAAAGTTCGGCCTGAAATTTCCCAAAATATTAAGAACATGCTAAGAACATACCAAAGGCTCAGAGACGAGCAATTTATTTTATCACTGCTTTTACTCTCCTAATTAACTCCTGAAAATCTGGTTTACATAATGTCTTACATGGAATCAAAATGCATGTAAAATTTTGTTCTTTCAACACATTCCTATCGTGTATGGTCAATAATACATTTACAATGTACTTGTACAATTCATTCATGTAAAACTGTAATCATTGTCTTATCATGTCTATATCGAGCTTTAAAGTTATCAGATTCTCGTTATTGAAATTTAAGAACATCCTTAAGAACATTGTCAGGCTGAAACTGCCCAGAAAATGAGAACGGTCCAGGGCGCTCAACTCGAAAAATGGACATTCTGATAAAAAAGGGGAAAAGGAGTGTGTTGCCTTTGACTGTCTATAAAAATTAACGGAGGGCAAAATGCGCGAACTGTAAGTACACAAAGTTCCCACAGTAAAAACCCTACAGATTCAAAAGGTCCTTTGAAAGTTGCGAGAAAACTGCTATGACACATTTTACCAGCAGAAAAGATCAGAAAAAATATTTTCATAGGACAAAAAGAACCTCCACGCACCAAGATGAGTGATGATCGGCAACTACAACTCTGGACTTTATAATTTCGAAATCACTTTTTTGGTATATACCTTGGTACGGGTTTTAAGAATGAATACACTTAAAATCGAGGTATATCTAATCTGCAGTGTATCAGTCTACCTTCGAATTAATTATGAAGCAATGTAAAATAATTTTACCTTTTGCGTATGTAGTATCAGGTGTGAGCAATTGACAACACTTTAATAAAAGTCGGTTCAAACCGGTATGGTAAATCAATTGATTTTATCTTGCCTTATTTAATAATAATGAAATCTGCAATTCCTGTGTACTAATATTTGTGCTCTTTAAAGAAAAGCGTAATAGAGGAAGGTCGAAAACGGATTGAAAGAATGCGTTGCCATTATAGAACCAGCTGTAAAAACGTCTAACTGCGTATCGCTTATCACCGCTTAAATCCAAGACTAGTCTATCAACAGATTTTCAAAAAAACTATCAGTCACTTCACACTGTACTTAGCCACGACTCGGAACCTTTTTTCGTGGAATTGTGATTGAATGTGAGCGAATGATAGATCCATCCATCAAAAAAAATCAAACTTAAACTTTCAAAAGCACGTATTACGGCTGATCGCTTTTAATCAAGCATAGTGTATTGACATAAGCAACGTTATTTACAAAACACCTCTACTAAAAGTCATCCATTTCAAAGTGTACTAAAAAGAACTTTCAAAATATTCTTAACCGTGCACGTACAACATCACTGTGAACAAGAATTGATTCGAAACTCAATGGTATATCAAGCGGCGTGTGATATCAACAAAATGTTTTTAACAAACCTTTGTCGAAGGCGATATCTTTGCACTGGAGTATGACATTTACTTTCATAAAAATGCGCTTGATCCCATATCTCGATAAGATCTTCTCCGTTGGAAAAACTTCCCTCCTAGGTCAGCGGAAAAAAAAAGTTAAACAGAAATGAACAATAGTTTGTACATTGCGTACGAAACGAACAAACCGTTCGAATAACTGCAACATTATCCTGTTATCTATACTTCGAGGGAACTGGTTTGAAAATGACGATATCATTTAAGAGTTCACCTCAATAAGTTTGAAAACTTTTCCTACGTCTTTTTTGTGCCACGCAACAGCAATTCTAGCTCTTGTGATGTCTTCGTTGTTGTTATATTCTTTAGCGTTGGGAAGACACTGCAGTAAACGTTCTACCTCCGAAAATTTGTTGCTACGAACAAGACACGCCACGAGCTTTCCCATAGTCGCAGGATCCGAGTGAGACGATAAAATTCGCTGTAAATACCGGGTTCGTTTCATAATGATATTTGCGCCAGGAAAAAGATTTTGCTGAACATGTCAAACGTTGTTAATATCATGCGCTTTTATATCGTCACGTCAAAAACTGCGTCGGAACCCGCCCCAAGTCCCCTATTGGCTGACTATTTGTGGCACGTCCATTGCCTAGTCCCTGTACGGCGTCTTTTCAGGCCCTCTCGGTCAATGAATTTTTCGGTGACGTATCCGAGACGAAAGGCCAGGAGACGCCTAGACAATCTCGGAGTGTGCATGCGTGAGCATTTTTGAAAAGTTCACACGGTCAACTGAAATAATATCTATAAATAACTTTGCGCGTGAATATCCTTCGCTAAAGATCGGCACTGTTGACACGATTACAAAAGTAACTAACCTAGTTCGTGTTATAAAAGAACAAAAATATTACTTTGAATCGGAAAGAATACTACCGTATAACGTGCAAGTAATTTCTCTTTTAGTCCATCTTCAAATGAACCATTAAAATGATAGTCGTTATTGATAAAAAAGATTTGAAACAGCAGTTTGTCGACATTCTACCAAATTTAGAGACCAAATTCTACAGCCTGTCCGATTAGTTTGATAAGCTTCCAAATCCAAAAATTAAATTACATAAAGTATTTCGAAGTGAAATGATAACGAGAAATTTATATGTAGCAAAATTTATATATAGGAAAATAGGGAAACGAAAGATAGCTTGTCATATCCAAGAATAAATATAAACTTATTTCTTTAGCTTACCTTCCGATTCTTGATCAAATAATTTTTTTGCGACGCTGTTTTGCTTAGCCTACAAATAGTTTTTGAGATGAAAAAAAGTTCAAATCAGTTTAATGACCAAAGCTCCGCCCCAAGTGAGACAAATGTCTCACTTCTCCGAGTTTGTCTAGGCCTCAAAAACTTTCTCGGACCACGTGACCCGAAACGCATCGGCCGTGCATATATTGCATAATAATGAGGCCTAGGGAGTAGGCAAGCACGTCCAGACATTCGGCGCCAGTGATTTGGTTAAGAAGCCTAACTTCAATTTAATGTAATCAAATAAGTACATTTACAAAAGTAAATTCGAAATATGAAAAGCAGATTCTCTTTTTAAAACAATATGAAAGGCCTCTATGCTCATTCTCGACACCAGAGCTCAACTCACTCTTTCGACATGTGCGATACTGAGAAGGGCTCTGGGGTCGAGAATCATTCTCGTTCCCAGAGCTGCGATCCTTTAAGGCTGGTTTTCACTTAGCGACGGAGTCGGAGTCGTAATCAGAAGCGTACAGCTTATGATCTAGTGAAAACAGCGTTCCGATTCCGCTTACGACTCCGTCGCTTACGTTCCGCTTATAATCTAGTGAATCCAGATTGTCAGAGTCGGAAGCAGAAGCAGAAGAACCAAACCAATCACAAAGCGTGGGAACGAGCATTCTGATTGGCTTATCCTTCCGCTTCTGCTTCCGACCCTGACAATCTGGTTTTCACTAGATCATAAGCGGAACGTAAGCGACGGAGTCGGAAGCGGAGTCGGAAGAAAATGGAAACGTTCTGATTCTTCTGATTCCGATTCCGTCGCGCTTATGACTCCGCTTACGCGTCTCCGATTTCTGATTTTCACTAGGTCATAAGCGCTCTTACGACTCCGCTTACGACTCCGACTCCTTCGCTAGTGAAAACCAGCCTTTACTCAGCGCGGCGCCGAGCAAAAGGCTCGCAGCCCTGGGAACGGAAATGGTCGAGAATGTTGCTCCACAGGGCCTCCTGGGGGCCTGAGCACGAGGACCAGGAGGCTCTGGGGACACGGGATTTGAAGTCCTAGATTTTAGGACTTCCGGTCATTTCCGATTCGAAAGTAACTTGGAGGATTGCCTTTTGAAAGCTTTGAATCAGCTAAATCTAAAGTCATTGACACTTCGGTAAGTCAGGTGAACGCTATTAGAAACGTTGTAGAAAATCAGAAATGACCGGAGGTCCTAAAATCTAGGTCTTCAAATCCTGTGTCCCCGGAGCGTCCTGGTCCTCGTGCTCAGGCCCCTCGGAGGCACTGGGGACGAGAATGTTGACGAATGTTCTATGATCTGCCCATACTAGTCCTCAGAACCACTCGGCTTAATTTGTAAAAGACCACGTGACCAAGAAAAGACGGGCTCTGGGGAGGAGATTGTTTTGCCTATTAAATTGGCCTAGCAGGTGATGTGGTCGTTCTCAACTGTATTAAGGCACTGGCTGGGCCCAAGCCTACTGGTTTCTTGACGCTTGCTCTTTAGATTTTAGAAAAATTATTATTTTCAGGAGCCCATGTGCTCCTATTTTTCCATTTATTTCTCTGACCTACCTATGTCTAATTTGATTTAATATGAACAAGGCCAACACGGTCACTGTGGTCAGCTGCGCACATACCAACAAACAAAAACGCAGATTAGATTGACCTCTGTAAAAAGACAAAGACTGAAATCGGACTACACGAAAAGGGAGCCTCCCTATGAGTACCTGTGGACGTCGTTTTCGCCCCGCATTTCCCATCAAATCGTCAGTTTTTTAACGACATCGTTTATCTAGAATTAGTGCCGTGAGTAAAACCGCTACTAGCGAGCTCATACAATCACCACCACGACGGTGCGGAGTTTTGCGTGAACTGCCCTGTTTTGTAGTTTGGCTCAATTTTAAGCCGATAATAGGCAAGGAGACTGGCTCAGTAATCAAGTCGTACAGCGTAAATTGGCTGTTTCATCCGGCCGGCGCGTAAACCTAGGTTACGGTATTATGGTTATTGGCACATTTTTTTCACCATCTGAAAGGTTGCATGAAAAGGGGATGCTCCTTAAGCCCCGTGCAAACGGACGCAACTTTGTTGGATGTTACAGGCTGCATCCGTTTGCACACCCTGTTGCATGTTGTTGGATGTTTTTGTGTGTTGTTGCGCAAAGTTTAAAGTCGGTCAAACTGTTCAGCCAACAACTCCCAACACTTCTTATGTTCCGTGATCGCCAAAGCGTAGCGCAACAATGTTGGATTCGTTCGCACAGCTCTTCCAACATTGTTGGGGCCACGCACGCTAATTACGCATGGTTTACAAAGAATTTTGGGTTGTATCCTTCCCACGATGCACTGCAGGCCCCAGTATTGTTAGGAGTTGTTGCTTGCATCCGTTTGCACACCACTGCCAACACGCACGCAACAACTCCCAACATTGTTGGCGCGACAATGTTGCGAGTTGTTGCGTCCGTTTCAACGCAGCTTTAAACAATAGTACTTGCAAATCACAATAACACAGCAGGCAAAACAAGTAGCAAAACAAATAACAGCAAATTATATACTGAGAAGGATTATTTTCCTGTCCTGTAAACACAACTAGTTTATTTTGTAAATGATAAAATTAAGACCTCAGAGCAAAGAATTTTGCAGAAAAACATTTTGATAGTATCTGGTTAAAGCAAATTTCCTAAGTGGCTTGAACATTATTAGAAGTACTACCTAGATCTGAGTAGTGACATGTAATCAGTATTCACTATTTAGATGTCATTATCCAGGAAACCCAGTGGTGCTATTGTGAAATGCCAGCTGTTTTCTCATGTTAAGTATGTCCCTAAGATAATTTGCAAGCTTATTGTACTGGCCAGTATGATTAACTAAAAACATCTTTAGTGTAAATGATGCACTTTCTATAAGTTAACACGAATGGTTGCCACTAACTGAATGAATCCATTTCCTTTGTTAAAGACGAACACTGTTGCAGTACCTTAACTAACCCACTACAGCTTCTTATATGTAATCAGACATTTCAGCTAAAATATAGCACAGTCGAACCTGTGTAAAACGGTCACCCTTGGAAAATGGCAAGGTGACTGTTATTTACCAGGTGACCACTTTATACAGTGCCGTTATATACAGGTTAGTTACAACTATTTCATCCAATTTGCTATTGTTTAAAAAATTGTGAATGCCATAAACTGTCACTTATAAGCACCCCCCCCCCCCCCATCTCCCCGACTCTCACCCTACACCTCCATAAAAAAAAAAAAAAAAAAAAAAAACAAACCAATTTTAAGACCCCTCCAAAGCCTTGTTAAAATAAGTCATAAATGTTTATTTACAAAACAAATTTTATAGAGACAAAAAATATCTGTGTTGATTTTTTTTTGAAATACTCAAAAAAATTAGCGAAAAATAGGATTGGGGGAAAAAAAGTAGACTGACCCCCCCCCCCACTTCCCAGCTACTAACCCATCTACTGGTAAAAAATAAATAAGAAGAAATAAAACACATCCAATTATGAGCCCCCTCTAGCTTGTATCAAAATGAATTTGATTATTTGATTTATGAAGACATTTTGAAGATGAAATGAAAAGCGTTATGGAATTTTTTTTGGATCAGCACTGAAAGCTTGCTTTTTCTATTTTGGTTATAATCCCCCTTAAAGGAAGCAGTTTATGGTAACCTTAAAAACAAGGAAACAAGATGGATATTACAGTTTCATTCCAGTAAATTTTTTGTTATTAGCCTTGTAAACATGGGTATCATCTTCTAGCAAGAAAAAAGTAAAGAAACATGCCACTTAAACAAAAATGTTCGACTGTCGGACATAAAGTATATTTTTTGAATTTGTTTCCAGAAGCTCAAAAATCTAGCAACCATGCAAATCCTTGTTTAGTTGTGTGCTTAGCCAAAAATGCCCATTTTATCTCAGAAGAATAACATTTCTATTTGTTCCAACACAAACAATTTTCTAAATCACAAATGGAAAAACAAATTTGATTGCCAGACACAGTGTGTTTTGAAAATCCTATCTGGCTGTTTGGCGTTTAGTGCCATTGTTCCAATTAGCAGCACCAGAATATTGATATACAGACACATGAAATATTTTGGGCAGTTTTCAGTGTGCTGTCTTTTAAACAACTATTTTATAAAAGCATACACCAGAGACCTTCACCAGAGCAACCAAGTGGAAATGCCATGTGTTGCATGATATAATCTTCCTAAAGAATTAGGAAAGCCCAGTGTGTTGACCAAGTCGGCGGGTTTGCACGTCCGCATGTGTACAACACCAGACAGTATAAAAGAAACCTTGAGACCCCTATAATAAGACAGGATTGATTGTACACTGATGGATGTTGTCTGTTGATGTCGCCATTATCTGGCATGGACTGTTGTTCAGTTTCCATGCCCGATGTCATTGATATGCATCCCTACAGATGACTGAGATGGAAGTTATTGACAGCAAGTTAGTTTAAAGAGATAGCTTGCATGATCTTTGTTTTGCCAAAGAGCAATCACTTCTTTCCATAAGGGTGGCTAATTTTCACGTCATTGATGTACAGCAAATGGGACACTGGTTATGCCTTGATTTCAAACATGCTTGGAAACAGGTCTGATGCAGCAAATGACCACATCTGAGAACCTGGCAAGGAATTGGAGAAGAATGCATATCTTCCATGCAAATGGGACAGTTTGATCTCGAGCTTTTCTCGATGCACCTGTGCGAGCTCCTAATGTTTTTCGGATAGCACATATCACACCTCGTACAGTGAAAATACTTCTCTTTTCCTCCTGTCCGACAAACCCCGCACAAATCACAGTGAAACTGTCCCTTATCTCGATCATCATACAATCGACAAATCGAGCAAAAGTAAAATCCAAACTTGATCCCACATTCGCTGCAGTGAGAGACGACATTTTGCAGCGCTCCACACTGATTACACTTCACTTGTTGCACAGTTTTCCTATCGAGCTCGTGACTTTGTTCAGCAGCATCATGACAAAACCGACATGGATAAATTTTGTTGCAACAAGGAGCCAAAAAGGAACATTTTCTGACATAATGTTGACAACCAGCCATTTTTGCTTCGTAGTTAGAGCCAGTCCTCCTCGTCGGTTTTGACCCCAACTCGACTCCGCGTCACTCGCGTGCGATCGATTCCCAGGATTTGCGGATCACTGAGCCTGCCTGCGCGTGGGAGGCTGATTGCGTAATGCTTTCACGTAAAATATGGAAACTATTTACATGTTACGACTAATTCCTAAACTGACTCTTCACTTTCACGTAGTAAGTCACGATCGTGCTTCCCGAAAGATGTTTTCAGTAATGTTGAATAAAAAAAAAGAAAACAAGTTTCCCGTGACGTCATCCATGTATCTATTCTCTGATAGATCACTTGTGGACATGACAACGACCAATCACAGAGCTCGTAGCATTCACATCGTTGTATATATATGGCTGATCCAATGGGCATTGAGAATTGGGTACTAGGAAGCTATTGTTTGGTGGTCACTCAGGCAAACTTACATTGTTCCGTTTGACCAAATGCTCAATGCCCAATTGCCAATTACCAATGCCCAAGGCAACCTTTATTGAATCAGCTATATGTATTTTCAGTTATATACGCACACAGTGACCAGGGTGTTTCAAGCAATCTGATTGGTTCGCTATCTCAGACGTTATATTTGCTGCACTGCAGGGCGCGGTGACCGGTAAATTAAAACAAAACAATAGCGCTGACGTGAAAGCGGTGTTTTGCTAAAGTTCTAGACTAAGAACTTAAGAAAACCAAAAAAAAAAAAAAAATCCTTAAGCGTTGGAGTTTTTGAAGGTAAGAATCCTCGCGAAACGTCCCCAGCGGCGAAGAGCGGGGAGAAACGGATGTTTTCGCAGGCTAGAAAAAAACCGTCAGTGTTTAAAACAGCGTTTGCCGATTTTTTGTAGCCCTACTTTAGTTCACAACTATAGAGGAGAAAGATACGAAAAATCGATCTGTGAGGGGACTGGCTACAAGTCTGCATATTTCGGGATTATCAACACAAGACCTACATAAGTCTGAAAGAGCATACCGCATTCAAATCACTTTCAGTTACTTCGAATTGAATGTCTACAATACATGGCACCCCTGAACGGCTAGACCGCTATCTACTTACAGAACTTTTTTTTTACATTTACTTTCACTCTGTTTCACTGTCTCACTGTTCTCACTGTTGCTCTTCAACCAAATCGTCAACATTCGTCGGTTAGTTGTTTAAGTCACCTAGCTAACACCGCAAACAATACATCCTTAACTTTATGTTTCCTGTTGTTTTAATATCTATTCTTCCTATATTGGCTTCATGGCTACCGTTGTCAAGGATGAAGAACACAGGGCATTTATAGCTCTGACTTGACACCACATTCGCTTAATAAAAAAGTTACATCATCATAAATTGCTTCGTATGTGTCGCGATCGCCTTGTGCAACAGTGGAAGATTTTTTACTTCCCTTGAGCAGTAATTATGCTTGGAATAAATCATCACTTGCTTATTTGACATGTTATACTCGCGTGACGTTTTAAGAGCACAGCTGGTTACATTTGCGTCAAACAGAAAATTATACCGATGTAAAGAGGTCCTTATGGGTACTTTGTGTCATTTGTTCCATTGTTCACTAATCCATTAAGTTATGTTGATGTTGCCACCCAACCCCTCGCTAATTTACAAGAACACTCATGACTAAACAAGAACTATTTATAAATGTTCCTCTCTTCGTTTGTTACGTCCCATTGTTGATATCCTCTCAGCTGAATAACAGTCATCACGCCACAATCAATGAACTGTTGTTTTTAACAACAAGGACCCGTGAATGAAACAACATTCCTTCGCAAGCTGAGTCATAAAAAAGAGATGAGCCGCAATAAAGTTTTTCCTGTGGAAGGAGAGGAGAAAAACACGGGAGAGAATGAACATCTGGAAACACAAGTGGTGCAGGGAAATGGATCAGTCTCAAACGGTTTGCCTCCACAACTGTCGCTGGAGGTTGAGTTTAGCCAACTTTCTGCGTCTACTTCAACCGTTTGTAGTCAAGGCCAAGATTCCTCCTATGATGTTCTCCAAAATGAAAATGACAGTCGGGTTCAAAACCGAAACAGGACGTTCAGTGGTGCATTGAAGAGACGGGACAGTAATATGGTAAACTATGAGAAAATGCTAAAAGAGATGAATGCAAACTCAAGCGAAACGTTGGTCAAAAAAAGACAAGACGACGAATGTGCCGAATGCATTCTGGAATACATCAACGAAGTAAATGAAGAAAACAGGGGCGAACAAGGAGAAATAGCGCAAAGTGACAACGGAGAGGACCAAAGCGAGAACCAAGCAAACGGAAACGAAAGTGACAGATGCAAGAAATCAGAAGATTCCAACCAGGCCTTGCTGCAGTACTTTGGAAAGCTTTCGAGTTCTAACAATTGCGATGACTGCCTGAACTTGGAGCACATTAAGTCGTTGTTAAGTGAAGGCGCTTCAGTGAACACCAGTGATCGGTTCGGTCAAACTTTACTGCATGAAGTTTCCAGAACTTGGGGAATAGATGTGGCACAGTTCTTTGTTGAACAAGGTTGTTGTGAATAGTTTGTTAACTCATTAAGAGTTTACCTCTTGAATTCTACGAATGTCAGTTGTCCAGTATCCTTCTTGCACTTTGATATTCGCTAGTTCATGTTTGTTTACGTATAATGCCTTTGCAACTTTTAGTTTGCAATAGTTTTCATTAAACGTTTCTTTAAATTCCCCTCGGTGAGATACCGTATGGATCTACAATGGGAAACTTATAGAGATGAGTAAACAAGACGAAGCCTTGGTGGGTACTTATCAGTAATAGACTAAATAATTGGTGTTAACTGCTTTAAGATTAACTCTGCCAAAGGTGAAGCTTTAATTGATTGTAAATGTACAGACATGGCGTGATCGGCAACCAGGAACGTTCCATTATTGTGACTAATTCAACGTTTCTTGGTGCGATTCTTTGTTTAGGTGCAGACATCAACAAAGCTGATGATTATGGCCGAACACCGTTACACGTGGCTGCCTCATCTGATTACCCACAGATGGTCAGGTTTCTTATTGAAAATGGCGCCGACTTTCAAGCGACCACCAAAGGAGAGTTACAAACCCCGCTTCACTTTGCTGCAAGGAACGAAGCATCACAGTGTATTAAGATTCTTCTTGCTTATGGCGCAACTTTGGAAGTCCGGGACTACAAACAGCGCACGCCATTACAGGTAACACATGCACTGACTAGAGGGTCTGAATAGGGTATCTCGATAACACTAAACACTTCATTTTTTGACGTAGAATTTGAGCAATGAAGATATAGACCAACACAAAGAACACCAACAATTGCTAAGGAATCTGTTTTAGCAGGGTATACGTTATTTATAAGGTAGGGTATAAACTCTACGTTTATTATTCAGGCAGAATTTGAGCAATGACGACATAGACCAACAAAAAGCATTGAAAGCTCTTAGTTAAAAAAGACTACATATCGTGGTAATAAGAGTAACTGTGTGTTAGTATTCCTCAAAAAGATTGTTCGTCGATGGAAAATGGTCCAGAAAAAGGGCACTTGAAAATGTTATTTAAGTTCTCGAAAAACCTTCAGGTACAACGAGCCTTTTCTGGACTTTTAGTAATTATATAGTTGAATCCGCTAGTTGAATCCGCTAGCGGGCATGATGAAAAAAACGCTGAGTTCTGATTGAAGATGGCGAAGGCCTGCTTGACGCGGAGTGTGATGCTGCTAGCCTTCGTCAATTGACACCTCAACATTGTGTGAGTTAATGTTCCAGCTGCATGATGTTGTGAACTGTTAGGCGTTACCAGGCAGTGCTTGTCTTTTCTCCGGCAAAGTTACGTAACAACAACCTCATTCAAAAAAAAATTGGCCAATTTAACAGCAAACACTGAAACTTATGGGAAAATAACGCTAAACATCAAACCCCATTCAGACCCTCTGACTATGATTTTTCGAACACCAACAATTGCTAAGGAATCTGTTTAAGCAGGGTATACGTTATTTATAATGTAGGGTATAAACTCTACGTTTATTATTCAGGCAGAATTTGAGGAATGAAGACATAAACCAGCACAAAGCGTTGAAAGCTCTTCGTTAAGAAAGACTATATATCGTGGTAATAAGAATAACTGTGTGTTAGTATTCCTCAAAAAGATGTTCGTCGATGGGAAATGGTCTAGAAAAAGGCACTTGAAAATGTTATTTAAGTTCTCGAAAAACCTTCAGGTACACCAAGCCTTTTCTTACCTTTTACTTATTATATAGTTGAATCCACTAGCGGGCATGGTGAAAAAAACCCTGAGTTCTGATTAGCTATCTGGGCGGGCGAGATGGTCCCATCTTGCCCGCTCGGGATTACCCGCGTCGGTCTCGCAAGACAAAGTAATGTCTTTGACCATATAATAAATTTTTTATTGACCAAGCTTGTTCGGTCAAGATGACTGGATATTGGCCTAGTTTTTTGTTTTGTTGTTTTAATTGACCTCAACTTCTCTCTGAAATTGGTCAATACTCAGTCATATTGACCTCACGCTTATTGGTCAATAACGAACACATTTTTTAAAACGATAGAAGTATGTCAC